AGCAGCAGCACGAGCAGCTGCAGCAGGAGCAGCAATCATCAGCAGCAGAAGGTTCAAGTACATCTGCCGCTGCTGCTGCTGCTGCTGCTGCTGCTGCTGCTGCTGCTCCTGAGGCAGAGTGGCTGTGGACGCGGCTGTTTGTGGTAGATGAGAACCAGCAGCAGCAGCAGCAGCAGCAGCAGACAGACATTCAGCAGCGAATAGCAGCAGCAGTTGCAGAGGGAACAGCAGCAGGAGAAGCAGCAGTAGCAGCAGCAACAGCACAAGCAGCAGCACATGTAGCAGCAGCAGCAGCAGCAGCAGCAGCTACTGAGGGACGTCGGCCTGTGGAGGCACTGAACAGGCTGCAGCTGCAGGGGCGTACTGGGGCTCGGCAGCAGCAGCAGCCGCAGCAGCAGCAGCAGCTGCTGCTGCTGCTGCAGCAGCAGAGGAGACGACGGCAGCAGCAGCAGCAGCTCAGGCCCGGACGCAGAAGGTTTAGCAGCAGCAGAAGCCGCAGCCACAGCCGCAGCCGCAGCAGCAGCAGCGACAGCAGCAGCCAGCTGCGCATCCCAACAGATAACCAAGGAACACCAGCAGCAGCAGCAGCAGCAGCAGCAGCAGCAGCAGCAGCAACAGAAGAAGAGCAGCAGCAGCAGCAGCAGCAGGGTGGCAGCGACTCGTCTTGGACGTATACTGATTCTGTATCTAGGAGAAGCAGCATGAGCAGCAGCAACAGCAGCAACAGCAGCAACGGCAGCAGCAACAGCAACAGCAGCTCGGTGCCTTCTCCCGTTATCTCAAGGATAGCCGGCACAGACGATGCAGCAGCAGCAGCAACAGCAGCAACAGCAGCAGCAATTGCTGCTGCTGCTGCTGCAGGGGAAGACAGGACGGATAGGGAAGCACCTGGTGCTGCTGCAGCAGGAGCAGCAGCAGCAGCAGCACCCACAGCAGCAGAAAGAGAAGCAGCAGCAGCAGGAGCAGCAGCAGCAGCACCAACAGCAGCAGCAGCAGCAACAGCAGCAAGAGCAGGACAAGATTCATCACCATTGGCTATGCTGCTGCAAATGATGCTTTCAGGTACACGACAGGTGCAGCAGACGCTGCTGTCGCTGCAGGAGGCTGCTGCTGCTACTGTTGTTGCTGCTGCTGGTGGTGGTGGTGCTGCTGCTGCTGCTGGTGGTGGTGGTGGTGCTGCTGCTGCTGCTGGTGGTAATCGAGCAGCAGCAGCAGAAACGGAACACGCAGATGCAGGTGCGTTTGCTGCTGCAGCTAATGCTCTACCGCCCCAGGATGAGGAGGTGCTGCTGCTGCTGCTGCAGCAGCAGCAGCAGCACGACCAGCAGCAGCAGCAACGCCCCACGCGAACTGTCTACCGCAGAGAGCTGAAGGCTCCCAAGGAATTCCCCTTCGTCATACGCTGCACCCTTCTTCAGGTCAGCTAGCCAGCTAGCTAGCTAGCTATCTAGCTAGCTAGCTAGCTAGCTAGCTAGATAGCTAGCTAGATAACCAAGGAGATAGAAACTCGGCTAGCCAGCTAGCCAGCTAGCCAGCTAGCTAGCTAGCTAGCTAGCTAGCTAGGCAGCTGGTTAGCAACCCAGCTAGCTAGCTAGCTAGCTAGCTAGCTATGTTGCCAGCTGCTGTGTAGACATCATCTGGATGCCTTCGTAATTCGCTACCTCCTTGCCCCGGCTAGCTAGCTAGCTAGCTAGCTAGCTAACTAACTAACTAGCTAGCTAGCTAGCTAGCTAGCTAGGCACCTAGCTAGCTAGCTAACTAGCCCCCTAACTGGCTAGCTAGCTGCAAAAATACCCGTTTCTGTTGCTTCTGCTTCTGCTTCTGCTGCTTCTGCTGCTGCTGCTGCTTCTGCTGCTGCTGTTGTTGCTGCTGCTGCTGCTGCTGCTTCTGCTGCTGCTGCTGCTGCTGCTGCTTCTGCTGCTGCTGCTGCTGCAGGTGTTGTATGGGATGCGGAAGAGCCCCCGCTACGAGGCCCATTGGCGGCAGCTGGATTGGGTGCTGCAGTCTGCTGCTAGAGACCCTCGAATTGCTGCTACTCTGAAAGCATGGAGAGCTGCTGCTGCTGCTGCTGCTGCTGCAGCAGGAGGAGGCAATGCATCTCCGTCTGCTGCTTCTTCTGCTGCTGCTTCGGCGGCATCTGCTGCTGCAGCAGCAACTGCAGCAGAAGCAGCAGATCTAGAGGAACAACGCATGCAGTATGGTGCAGCAGCTGCAGCAGCAACTGCAGCAGCAGCAACTGCCAGCGCACCCAGTGAAGGAGGAGATATGCTGCTGCTGCTGTTGCTGCTGCTGCTGCTACTTCTGCTGCAGCAGCTACTCTTGTTGTTGTTGCTGCT